GGAGGGAGGGAGGGAGGGAGGGAGGGAGGGAGGGAGAGAGAGAGAGAGAGAGAGAATGAATGAATGAATGAATTATGGCGCTTATTATTTTTTTAAGCCAAGAGTGTTAGGAACCTGTCTATCTGTAAGCAACCATAATGATGAACATGCGAACATAATAGTGAACATATTCTGAAATCCACGCTCCCAAAGTCACCAGGGGTCAATTCTCATGAGCATTTTTAAGCAGATCCAAAATCACAAAGGGGAACCAATCCAAATGTATTAGGAAATAACTCTTCCTTTCAGTGATCAAAGGTCAGCAAATTACTTCATTCAAACTCTAATCCATGAAAGTTTTCTTCAGAAGAATGAGTAATAAGAGAAGGTTTATGTTTCCAAGAACATATCATTTTTTAAACCTGAACTGCTAAATAATAGCTTTCGTTCAGTTTTCCTCAATTCAGAATTTTATTGAGTTCTAAAGTGAAATACTGACCAAGTATAGGAGACACAATAAACTTTATAAATTTGTTGCAAAAACCCATAATCATCTTCTTCAGAGCACTATTTATTCATATGGAGAAGGCAAAAAAAAACCCTACTCTTTTTAAAACAATCCTGAAATAGAAGTCTATTTGCTTATAATAATGCCATAATTAGCATTGTATGAGGTAGACATTTCATTACAATTTTCCTATTTATCCCCTAAGTGAAAATATCTGAATTCCTGGCAAAAATATGATGCTTTTAACAGATTGTATATGCCTCTACAAATATTTTTTTTAAAAAAATACAAGCCAACTGCATCCTTAATAGAATATTTAATTAATATTCTATTAATATTAATAGGTGTAGGACAGGACACCATGAACACAATAATACCACTATGAATAGATATGTTAGGTTTAATATGTCTATTCTGAGCTGAAATCCTTCCAGATGTTCCACCTCTAAGGCAAATAATTTCAATTCTAGCCATTCCAGTGGTAAAATCACATTGCCACCTACATGTCCAAGAACCCAATGACCTTCAAGGTGATGAAAAATTTAAAAAAACAGTAAAAATATTAGCAACAAAAAGTTTTTTTGTCATTCAGCATGCTTCAAAAGAATTTTACAAACACAGAATCCATAGGTATGGTCTATTGTTTTTAAAAACCGGAACATTAGTATCTTATTTTATCCAATTTATTCATTTGCTTGGGCAATCAAGTCAACCTTTATTACAGTAAAAGACCAGCATTAAGAGAATGGGATACAATAAAATAAAATATAATCCAAAATACCTCCCCAAAATTAAATTAAATACAAAGCTAAAAAAGTAAAATATATATTTAAAAAACTCCAAAAAGAGAGGTAAAAACAATAATTAGACATAGAGATCATGTCAATATATCTAAAGCAAATAATATAATAAATCTAATAAAATACTTTATAATAATGGTTTGAGTGGTGTTAAAATTAATTTGTGGCACAAGCCATATCCTGATGTATTTTAAATGTGCTTAGACAATTGCAGTTAAACAGTAAAGCTGTGCTTTCCATTAAAACAAATAAAAATTTATTAGGTTTGTACTATTATTAAGTCAAGGAATTTGATCCAAAGGCAAACATATTTAGAGAATTTTAAAAATGGCAGACTTTTTAAATAGTTTTAAGCCAAAATCCCTGCTTTCAAAATACAATGTAAGATTTTGTCCCAGAATAAATAATGTGATAAAGGAGTATCTTGGAGGTCTTAATTTATTAATCTTTGTCTGAATCCTCCCTTGATCCTCATCTCAGAAGTTTGGCAATTCGAATCTCACCAGCTCAAGGTTGATTCAACCTTCTATCTTTCGAAGGTGGGTAAAATGAGGACGCAAATTGTTGGGGGCAATATGCTGACTCTGTAAACAGCTAAGAGAGGCCTGTAAAACACTGTGAAGCTGTATATAAGTCTAAGTGCTATTGCTATTGTGTGGTGGAGCTAAATTCCATGGTAATATGCTTTTTCACATTAATTATTTTAAAGATATTGAAGCTCTTTTTTTTACTGGCAGAAGAAACCAATTTGGAGAAATAGGAAATATGAACCAGCAGAGCTGTGTATATGAATAACATGCCAAGATACCCTATAATTCTAGGTTATTGTTTTGTGCAAATGCAGTTGCTTGTATTCTCCAAACTACAGATTTGCACCTTAAGAAAGAGGAAGCCCAATTGATGCCTTTCAAAGGTCAATCTGGGGAGAAAATAACATTTTACAAAAGATATATTGCTTACCATCATCCAAATAAGCTTGGTCAAGATTCTGTTCCTGTTTTACAGTGACTCCAGCTGATACCACTTCCTTCTGATCATTTACTGGTGGTCCATTTTTGGCCGTTCTCTGCTGCTGAATCACAGTAGGATAAGAACTTGGGCTTAACCTTTGTGCTTGGTTGACTTGAGGCTGATGGGGCCTCACTCCACTGGATGTGAAATTTTCACTGCACATTATATGCTGAAACTCTTGATGGCTTTCACATCTCATCTGATGATTGGCTGTGGGAGAGCAATGGATCACTGGAGAAGGTGGCTGATTGGCTGGGGAATGATGGAGCATTGCTGAACTTTGGCTAGGGGATCCTGTGTGCACAAGCACTGACCTATGAACATCTGGGATGGGCACCTGGGCACCCATCAGGTTGGACTGCTGGTAGCCCAGGTGGCTTGGACTGAGACTCTTGCTTCTTTGATATATTATAGCTCCTGGGTTTTGGGAAGGATACTGAGATTCGGGAGAAGAGAGGTTTGAATGCAATTGCTGGCAAGAAGCCATTGTAGCCACAAGACAGGAAGGAGACTCCGAGGCCATTGTATGATGCGAATAATAAGGCTGTGTTACTGTTCTCAGACCACTGTGTACTGTATTGCAGATTAAACTTGGATCATAGTCATCAATGGGCTCTGTTTTTATGGAAGGCACTGGAACAAAGCACATAAAGGATATCAGTTTTAAAAGAACTGCTAATGGACAGTCAAAGAGAGGAATGACTCTGACACTGTAATTCCCCACCATCAGTTTTCAGCTTGTTCAGTTTTCAGATATTACTCACATATCTACTGGCAGATTCAAGACTTACTGTACATCCACAATTCGAACTTTCATTTCACCTCCTATTGCCTTGTCCTCAAATACTTTTTGGTGGACTCAGTTTATGTGTTCAGCTAGAAAGGATAATGGGCTAATAGCACTAGATCCTGGAGTTAGAAAAGCAGAAAGCCATTCCATCATACTAGGACTGAGTTAAAGTGGGTTCTTCTCATCCAAAGTCTGCACTAGAATAGCAATATCAATAGCACTTATATACCGCTTCATAGTGCTTTTATAGCGCTCTCTAAATGGTTTACAGAGTCAGCCTATTGCCCCCAACAATCTGGATCCTCATTTTACCCACCTTGGAAGGATGGAAGGCTGAGTCAACTTTTAGTGGGTGAGATTTGAACTGCCGAATTGCAGCTAGCAGTCAGCTGAAGTAGCCTGCAGTACTGCACTCTAACCATGTGCCACCTCGGCTCTATAATAGTTCTCTGTGGCAGGTCATAGACTCTAATAGTTCCTGTGGCAGGCCATGGGTGCCATATGATGATATCACATCTTGTGGTGGCAAATTATCTCATCTAGCATTTTAATGTAAATGATAAAGTAGAAAGGAGAGAAACTCAAGCTCTGAAGAATGTCCTATCTCAGGGACCTAGAGTCCAACCTCCTTCTCACAACAATAGCAACTTACATCACCCTCATTATGCACATGACGACTACCAGCTGAACATGGTACTTAATTCCACCAAGCCAAGCAACACAAAATATTGTTCTATTTAGTAAAGGCAGCATCAAGCGATGTAATATGTTAATATTAAGGAATTGAATGATCTTTGTTTATGTAAGCAACAAATTGACTACTGCCAGAAAAATTACTAATGTATCAACGATGTGTATCCTAATTAGAGGTCTATGCTAGGCTAATTAAGTGACATTTTTCCCCAGCATCTGAAGCTCGTGGCTATCTGGATGGGGAACAAGTAGTTTATAGGCTCAACTCAAGAAAGGTCCAGCACCGGTAGTTTTTAGGGACTCTAAACATGGAGATTGTAATTTTTTAAATTCTGGGTGGGTTTAGCATCCTCAAACATAGCAGGTGTGCATCTGGAACTTGTGGCTCCTACTTAAAGGGCAGCTGATAGCTCTGGCCAAGAACATCATGTTCATTGGTCATTTTGTTTTGTCTTTAATCCTGTTAACTGCCTAGAGTCACAATTTGCTAATGATATCCATATAAATGGCATGTACAAATAAATAAAGATGCTTTGTGGAAAAGAAAGATAGAAAACTAATGATCAGCCAGAGGGAAATGATTGCACAAATTGCTCCTCAAAATTGGGAACTTACAAACAATCCTTGAGAGAGTGTTTCTGAATACAAATCCCAGGCTCTTCTCTTAGTATCCAACTTAATCTAAAAAGATTCCACCTTGTTTTGAAGGTAATGTCCTCTTTGAGTTGAACTTAACTCCTGATGCCCCATGACCACACCTATTCATTTTTCAGAATGGAAGTGGTTCACTCCTGATATCTTTCAAGACCATTCTCAATTTTTCTGCTCTACAACCATGATATTTCCTGTGATGTCCCATCCAAGTGGTGCACTGTATTGCCCTTACATATATTGTACTGCTATTCAGTTACCATACCATAGTTCTGTGTTCCCACAAATGTTTGTGCTACAAATCCTTTTCCATAAAAAGAAAATTACCTGGATGGTAGATAAAATGCTGTGGCTGACTTTTTTTTCGTTTCCCATTGATAACATAGAAATTCACCTTAACGGGGACACGAATGTGCTTGTTGCGATACTCTGGAATCTCTACAAACAGCATGTTCTGAAAACAACAACAACAACAACAACAACAATAACTAACTGTGTGGACAATATAGTATAATAATTATTATATACTGAATTATTATATAATATAATAATTGAGTATTAACAGGCATATGCATCTAATCTGCAAAAATCCAGATGTTCAACAGATGGCAGGAAATGCATTTTCTGCATTTATTTTCTGCTTGTCCAGATTTTGCAACTCAAATGTGGTAGGCCTAATTTTTGCAATCAGTGAGAGATCACTGGGCTATAATCTTGTAAATAGTCTTTGACTTATGACTACAACTGGGACCAGCTATTAAGCAAATCCAGCCTCCCCTGCTTGCCCCTGAAAGTTTGCAAATGGTGATCATGTGACCCTTGGACATTACAACCATAATAAAAACATGTAGGTTTCCATGCCCCCAAATTTGGATCACATGACCACTGAGATGGTCATAAGTGCAAGGAGCGATCGCCTGTCACTTTTTTTTAGCCCTGTCATAACTTTGAATAGTTATTAAATGAATAGTCGTATGTGTTTATCTGTATAGGCAACCCCCACTTAAATAGTTGACCTGACATATAGTATCTGAAGTTTCAATCTTAGATACATTAATTTTAACATTATTTATACTATTAGTTTTAATATTTATTTTATTTATGAGAATCTCATCCACAACACAAGGACAATAATAGATTCCTGTTCACTATGGCCTATGTTAGGCATTACAGAAGAACGTAATTTACTAACCATTCTTTTTTCATAGAAAGAGGAAGATTGTGTTTCTGTGGCTAGCAACAGAGTGAACTTACAGATTGGCTCTTGTCTTTGTCCACTGTGGCTTCCATCTCCCAAACCTGCTGCCCATCTGAAAAACAAATTAAGTCATCCATGAAAATTGTTCCAGAATGTAGATGTAGATAAAGTCATTAGGAATGCAACCCCTTTTTATATTATACTGTTCAAAGTACTTTTTTTTTGCACATTTTGTCCTAAACCACCCTTAAAGAGACATAGTGTTTATTATTATAGTTCATTGCAAAGTCATGTAGATGTTCAGAATGGATTTGGCATTTTAATCTACCTACTGAGTCTGTCCTAAGAACCTGGGATAGGCACATGTTGATGTTTGATGACGTAGGAGGTATTGTCTGAGTAAAGCTTCCCTTTGCAATTGACTGGTGGTGAATTTGTCAATGCCGATGGTGTTCAAGTGGTGCTCCAGTTTATTATTGCATGTTGCACATGGAAAGATAAGGTTGAATGAATTGCTTTCTTCCCCCTCCCCCACCAGGACCAGCTCACAAATATATCATAGAGATGAAGTTCAAATTACAAAGATCAAGAATCTGACTGCAGTCAGTCATGCAAAAGGCAACTCTTTGAATTTCCAAACTAACATACCACATTAAAATTCACTAATGTAGAACTTAAATTCAGTTGCAAAACTGAGTATATGTGGATATAAAGGTAAAGGTTCCCCCGCACATGTGTGCTAGTTGTTTCTGGTTCTAGGGATGGAGCTCATCTCCGTTTCTAAGACAAAGAGGCAGCACTGTCTGAAGACGTCTCCGTGGTCATGTGGCCACCATGATTAAACGCCGAAGGCGCACGGAGCGCTGTTACCTTCTCACCAAAGGTGGTCTCTGTTTTTTTACTTGCATTTGTTACGTGCTTTCAAACTGCTAGGTTGGCAGAAGCTGGGACAATTAACAGGAGCTCACTCCGTTATGTGGTGCTAGGGATTCGAACGACTGAACTGCTGACCTTTTTGATTGATAAGCTTGGCAGCTTAGCCACTGAGCCACCGTGTCCCTGGATATATGGATCAATATATACAGAAGATATAGAGTATAGAGTATAGAGTATAGAG